TTGCCATGTTGTGACCAAGTTTACAGTTACCTGGTGCAGCCTTTCCACAGCCCAGGCATCGTGCACTGAGAACGTCCCGCACTAAAGGGGCAAAGAATAGGGCCCCGACGGCTCAGGGAGACCTGTGTGTGCAGGTTTCCAAGGCAAAAAAGTCCAGTTTAGCCTGTGATAGAAAATTGGTGATATCAGTCAGCAGAAGTTACAGCCAGAGACTGGCTCAGTCCAGACAAAGGTCTGTTAGCAAGAGAATGGAGATGGCAATAATAAATGAGCCAAAATTAGTGCTGAAAATGCAGCCTAATCGGTGGACAAAGTCACAAGGGGATGGGCTGTTCCCTCTTTCTGTGGTCTGTAGGCGGCAGGAATCGGGGAGCCCCTGCTGGCCAGGCTGGCTGGCAAATCTCCTCTTCCTCTGAAGCTTTGGGGGTACAGAGCTGTTTCTATGGAACGCTTTCAGCCCATCCACTCTGCGTCGCCAGGGAAAAGCGTGTGCTGGGCCAGGGATCCATCGGCAGCAGAGACTCTGCTGGCCTGGCCTCTCCCTGGGGCAGCCCTGGGGCAGCCGTTTGCCTTGTGCCAATGAAATGAGCTCAGAGTCACAACAGGAGCCACGGCCCCGGCTCCGGCCCAGGGCTCTGCCCCGAGAGGGCAGTTACTGCCACGCTGCCAGTGCCAGCAGAGCGTCAGCCGGGGGGCCTGGCCCACTCTCTCCAGCGGCAGGGAAGGGAAGCGGGAACGTGCGCCGGGGGGGCCGCTTTCTCTGCGTGTTGAAGGGCGGGTTGCTGGATAGTGGGGCGGTTGCCATGGCACCGAGCAGGCTGCGAGCGCTGTTCTTGGCCCACGTTTCACCGTTCATTGTTGTGCCGCACCAGGGTCTTTCTAAAGTCTTGGACTCTCCGGGCCCATTCAGGCGTCGCGTGGGCCTAGCGCCTGCAGGGACAGGCACGCGGGGGGCCATGGGCAGGCCCCTCGGCACCGGCATGGCAGATTGCCAGGGCTGGACTGAGGGAGCATGTCGGCCCCAGTTCTGGCTCTTGTCCCTGCTGGGACCCCAGGCCTGGCTGAGGGAGCCAGGAGGAGGCTGTGCCGGCCGCAATAAGGAAGCGGGGAAGAGCTGAAGTTGGCTGCGGCCTGGTGAATCATTCCCAGCCTGCCCTTGAGGCATTAGGAAATCCAGGCCGTGGCTCTCCCCCACCTTTCCAGCCTGGCTGGAGGGGGACAGGGTGGGCAGCAGCTCAGAGGTGTAGAGAAGAGGGGATGGGGGGGCAGTTGCCCCCGGGCGCCACACTAGGGGGGCACTGGGCTGAGGTGGGACTGGAGCACACGCTGCTCTGGCCCACGTGACGCTTTGAGCAGAGACCCGGGACTCGGAGCTGGCTACGTGCTGCCTCCCTCTGCACACTGTGAGCCGAAGGTGGGACTGGAGCACACGCTGCTCTGGCCCACGTGACGCTTTGAGCAGAGACCCGGGACTCGGAGCTGACTACGTGCTGCCTCCCTCTGCACAGTGTGAGCCGAGGCAGCCAAGCTGAGTGGGAGGAGCAGCCATTCTCCGGTGCCTGGGTCTATAGGGGGCAGGAGGGGAGGGGAAGATTTGATTGGGGGGGCGCTCCCAGAGCTGGGGGTGCCTGGCTCTGGGGAGGGGTGAGTGCATTGGGATGGGGAGCACTCAGGGGGGCTGGCTCAGGGGGAGGGGTGGTTGTGTTGTACTTAAAAGTACGGCATGGGATCTTTTCGGGGGGGAAAGGCAAAATGCCACATTTATTGGTAATACACACACATAGCAGTCAACCCTTATATGCATATAATACAGCACTCATGCATATACGCACCAGCTGTGTCTAGACTGGCAAGTTTTTCTGAAAAATCACCTGATTTTGCGAAAAAAACTTGCCAGCTGTCTACACTGGCCGCTTGAATTTCCGGAAAAGCACTGACGATCTCATGTAAAATCATCAGTGCTTTTCCGGAAATACTACGCTGCTCCCGTTCGGGCAAAAGTCTTTTTCCGAAAGACTTGCGCAAAAGGGCCAGTGTAGACAGCACAGTACTGTTTTCCGCAAAAAAGCCCCGATCACGAAAAAGGCGATCGGGGCTTTTTTGCGGAAAACCGCATCTAGATTGGCCACAGATGCTTTTCCGCAAAAAGTGCTTTTACGGAAAAGCGTCCTGCCAATCTAGACGCACTTTTCTGAAAATGCTTTTAACGGAAAACTTTTCTGTTAAAAGCATTTTCGGAAATTCATGCCAGTGTAGACGTAGCCACCATGTCTTGTTTTTACCAGTAGTTGTTCCACCTAACTGCCCTGGCCATTAGTTAGGTGGGAAAGGGTTGGAGCTGGATCAATGCTCCCATGTTGACTGCAAGTTGCCTTAGATGATCACATGCCTATGCAGTTATTCGTCTATGGCACCTTCTTCTGGGTGTTGTTTTAATGCTGCCGCATTCACCTTCAAAGAGGGAACTCCATAAGCAGACACTTGCTGTTGACTCCCAAGGCATCCATAGGTCCAGTCTTCTTTCTATGAGTCCACCCACGGGTCTTATTGTTCTTGAATCTGGCTCCCACCTTTCTCCGACCATTGCAAGTGCCCAGAGGTGCTTTTCTTTCATGCCTTATCCATTCACACCTCATTCACTCAAAAGGACAATCAGTTCAGCAAAAGGGGGTACAAAGTCTACAAGATGCAAGGTTTTTATGTAAAAAGGCTTAATACAAAGTTTCCGTGTTCTATACAAGTTTACAAAGTTTCTATAAAAGGACTTGATATAACAAAGTCAAGACTTATTACAGTGCTAAAAGGACTTGCTACAAAGTTAAAATTAAAAAAAATTCAATGAGAAAATTATTAATACAGAGCTTAATGAGATTTACTTACAGTTGCATTGGTATGGAGGGAGTTGGGGTGCCTGGCTCTGGGGCAGGGGTGAGTGCATTGGAATTGGGGGCACTGAGGGACCTGGCTGAAGGGAAGGGGGGGGTGCATTGGGGTTACTTATAATGTTTTTTATATAAAAGATACTTTATAACAAAGGGAAAAACTTAAAAAACCAAAAGTCTAGAAGCACTTTTTTTTTTTGCTGACTTAGAAATAATAACAGATCCACAGTAACAAATGATGGGGGGGGGGGAGTCGCAAATTTGACCTTTGCCCCCGGGCACATACCCTCACTACGCTTCTGCAGCAGCTGGAGACGGGGGTGCACAGGCTGCTTTCAGCCAATGCAAACCATGTGTCTGGGTGCCCCTTCCAGGCTCTTCGCTCTGGGGCCCGGATCCCATGAGTGAGCTCAGCCAGCAAGGGGTGCCTGGGGACAGGCAGCAGGATCCCAGAGCTGCAGAGGGCTCTCACCACCCTACCAGGTGGGGAGGGGCACCCAGCCTGGCTTGCTGGGCTGCTTGGGGTGATGCTGCCAGAAGCGAATTTCGGCAACAAGTTCTAATCCACAGAGCCTCTGCTGGGACTGGGGAGCTGGGGGTCCCCCACAGCCAGCGCTCCAGCCCCATCCCCCACAGAGCCCCTGCTGGCACTGGGGAGGGGCTGTGGGTGACGGGAGCCCTGACCTCACCCCTGTTCACTGCAGGGCCTCCTGCTGAGAGTGGCCAGGGCTGCAGGATCTGAGCTCCCCACAGCCAGTGCTCCAGCCCCATTCCTGGGAGAGGGAGGCACCCAGGTGCCAGCGACTGGCTGAGGGGGGCCCTTGTGTGTTTTCAGCCCCCTTAGGCCAGGCCTAGGCTTGCCGGACATGGCATCTCCTGGTGGCTCCTCCCTGCCAGCTGGTGTTTGCCAGAGACCAGGGAGGGCAGGAGGGTACCTGGGCAGTGGGGAGCAGTGGGCACTGGGCGAGGGGGAATGGGGAATGGGGCCTAGCAAAGGTCAGGGGAGGGTGCCCATGTGGATGAGAGGCCCTGGATCCCCTTCACATCCCCTGTCTGCTCTTGCCTTCCCAGGCAGGAGGCTCCCTAGCTCCTCAGCAGCTCGTGTGGGCATTGTGACACCAGCACCAGCATCACTGCCCCCTGCACACCCCTCCAGGGATGTGGAATTGAGGTTACAACATATGGGGGAGTCACAAGAGCCAGGGAGAAAGCGGGGGAGGGAGGACAGCTCTAATAACCTGGAACTTCCCAGATGGGGATCTAAAAGCACAGCCCAGACATGGCCTCACACCCTGGGAGTCTCATCCCTACAGGAGAAACTGAGGCACAGAGCAGGGCAGTGAGGGGCAAACCCCCATCTGAGGCACAGAGCAGGACTGCAAAAGGGGCAAACCGCCATCATCCCAATTCCCACCCCCTCCTGTCCTGCTCCTTCCCATTCCCAAGACCCCTCCCCACTGCTATTGCCCCACTGTCTGGAATCTGGGGCTCAGCTGTGTGTCACAGGCCCAATACTGCTAGCAGAGATTCTCTCGTTGATACCTGTTTGGGGGGTACTAGCTCCAGCATGGTGTGGGGTTCTGGGTGTGCAGCAGAATGACACAGGTGCAGCGTCAGGCCGCTGAGCCTTGGGCCCAGCTCTGAGGGCTGCCACAGCTCGGTTCAGGAATGACTGCACAGCGCCAGGGCGAAGAGCTGTCGGAAGCAGAAATTGCTTTTGCGCAAGGGAAGAGCAGCCTGGCTGCCAGCTGGCGTGTGCTGGTGTGTGCTGGCGTGTGCCGTGCGTGTTAGTGCGTGGCAGTGGGCGAGGGGCGGAAGGAAGAGGAAGATGATCAGAGCCGGTGGCGGCGCAGAGGCAGCTTTGCCATCCTTGGATTTCCTTGAAGGAGGAAAACACCTGCTGGTGGGTGGCCTGGGAAACCATCACGAGGGAAAGCGCCTGGAGTGGCTG